CCTGGCCCGACTCCGCTTCCGGGGGGCGCTGCTGCCGCCTCAGCGGCCCCGGAGCGGGGGTGCCCGGGGGTCCTTTGCCCCCGGCCACGGCCCCCGCGCCGGGGCTTCGCCGCCCCCTGTGTCCGAGCTGGACCGCGCGGACGCCTGGCTTCTCCGTAAGGCGCATGAGACAGGTCGGTGGCAGGCGCTGGGGTCGGCCAGGGAGGGAGAGGGGGTTCGGGATAGCCGAGCAGTGGACACGGGTGAGCGGGCGGTGGAGGTGGAGCTTCTGCTGAAAACAGGGCCCGGGCTCGGTTGGGAGAAGGGCTTCCGTCTAAGCGCAGGAAGCGCTGGCTGCAAGAGCGCAGGCTGTCCGCATAGGAGAAGGGCTCGCGGCTAGGACGGCGGGTCCAGAGAGCTGGCGGGGGTGGCCCAGATACTGGAGACGGCCTTGTGGTTACCTCTGCCCGATGCGTTTTAGTGAGCGCTAGGGGCGGGAGAGTTGCCCGCCGAGAGGGGTCCTTTTGGATGGCAGGGCAGAGGGGACCACTCGGCATAGAGCAGGTGTGTGGATCCCCGCAGAAGAGGGGCCAGTTCCGGATTGGAGGCGGAGAGAGCCAATAGCAGGCAAGCTCTCGGCTGATTGGAGCGAGAGGTGATCTAGGCTGCAGGGGGCGGAGCCTCCGGTGGGGAGGGGTTCCCGGAGCGATGGGGTCCTGTCTGTAGCTGGCTGGGCGTCTGGATATAGGGGCGGGGGCCTGGGGAGAGGCCAGCCGGTCAGCACCGCACAGGGGCGTGAATGGGGCAAGACGCGGATGGCTTCGAGGACGGCCTCATCCGTAGGGATGGTGGCACTGGAAAGAAAGTGAAGGGGTCGGAGAGGCCTGGGGAGGGGAACAGTTCATCTCAGCCGTCTGGGAAAGAAGCGAGAGGGCAGGACTTGCGGGCACCCTCGTGGGGGATGTTGACCAAGATGAGCCCTGCAATTCGGGTCCTAGATTCTCCGGATTTCTACAGACTGACCGAATGAATGGAATCGTTGGTGGGGCATTGTTTAGGGGAGAAGGGAGAGGGGCTTGGAGTTGGAGGCGAGAGAGGATCTAAGGGGATGGGGTTAGGGGGAGGACTTGCTGGAAGAGGTGAGGATTTAGGGGAGTTTGCTCTGGCTGGATGGGCCAAGAAGGTGGGATGAAGGGGGTCCTCCGGTTGGTTTGGGCTTTGGGCGGCATCAGGGAAGCAGGGTTTAAACTGATGCTGCTTCCTCCCATCTCCCCCCGCCAGCCTTCCTTTCCTGGTTCCGCAATGGCCTTCTAGCGTCAGGCATTGGGGTCATCTCCTTCATGCAGAGTGACATGGGTCGTGAAGCTGCCTACGGTGAGTGCAGATCCTGCTTCCCGCGCATTGCAGGGCCTGGCTATGGGTCTCCCCACTCCCATCTGACCAACCCATACAGGTGCAGGTCCTGTCCACCCCCGAACGTCTTTGCTCCCCACCTGGCCTCCTACCCCTGCGTGACCCCAGACTCCCGAACTCCAAGCCCTAGACGCCCCCTCAACGTCTTTGCTCCCCATCTGGCCTCCTACCCCTGCGTGACCCCGGACTCCCGAACTCCAAGCCCTAGACGCCCCCTCTGTTAGCTCCTCATGTCCTGACCTTGGTCCTGTACCACTCTGACTCCTGTCTGCCCTGCAAACCGCCTCAGCCCGGCCTCGCTGACCACCCGCCCTGTTCACAGGCTTCTTCCTGCTGGGAGGCCTGTGCGTCGTGTGGGGCGGCGCCTCGTATGCCGTGGGCCTGGCGGCGCTCTGGGCGTGTGCCGCCGGCCTCTACATGGGCCAGCTCGAGCTGGACGTGGAACTGGTGCCCGAGGACGACGGAGCAGCCACAGCAGAAGGCCCGGACGAGGCGGGCCGGCCGCCACCCGAGTAAGCCACGGGGCCGCAGGGACTGGCCGGCCCCTGGCCCGAGGACTGCGACATTAAAACCTGACCCTTGCTGCTCCAGATTCTGAGTGGTGGTTCGTGTTACTCGGGCAAGGCTGGACCTGGGGAGGGTGGAACCGAGGGAGGGGGGCAGGGACGGACACAGGTGGACATCACTGGAAGGATCTGGAAATGTGGGAGGAGCCGCTTCTTCCGGAGACCAAGCCACAGCCAGGAGCGCAGGCATTTAATCTCAGGGGCTGCCGAGGGGCGAGAGCCATGCCTGGTCCTCTTGGGGTCCCACCCGGCCCCAGGTCCAGTTCTACAGCCGCTCTCCCAGCCTTCAGTCTCCCTTCCGCGGCACCCTGGTGCCCGTGGGCCCCGCGAATGGCAGGCCCAGGGTGGGGTAGAAGGCCTCGGGGAGGGCGGGCCCCGGGCCCAGCCTCTGCAGGTGCGGGTAAATGAGGCCCAGCTCAGCCGGGCCGTATCGGATGGTGCTGGGTGTGCACAGGCCCCGCACCACGGGCGGCAGGAAGCCTGCGTGGAGGATGGAAGGTGGGGGGTCCCCGGGAGGTGTCAGGCCCCATGGCCGCACAGGGTCCTGTTTCAGAGCCCCGGCCCGGATGACAGAGGTGAACTCAGGCCGGGGTGCTGGATGGCCTGACGGCTCCTCCTCCCCGCTGTCCTCGGAGCCTGTAGTTTCCCTCTGGCCAGCCTCCACTTTAATGCGTTTGCTGCGTGTCTGGGGTGCCTCCTCCTTTTCCCGGGGGACCGCCTGCTTCCCTTTCTTCCCTTGCACTGGAGGCTCTGGCTCTGGAAGACGAAGATTCAGAAGGGTGCTGGGTGTGTGTGTGTGTGTGTGTGTGTGTGTGTCCAACCCTCCCACCGTAGAATGGATCTGCCTTGCGTTCAGTGGTTGTCAGCTAGGAGTGGCCTTTTCTTCCTGGGGACACTTGGCATTGTCTGGAGATATTTTTGGGTACCAGAACTAGGAGGAGGTCCAGGGATGCTGACAGGCACCCAACGGCACCAGGAACGCCTGGCCCTGAAATACCAGTAAAGCTGGGATCTGGGCCAGGATGGAGCTCTGGGGACGGACACATGGGACATCTGCCCCACCCACCCCCCAGGCCACCACTGGCCACACTGCTGAGGGCACTGGAATGTGGCGAGTCGACACGGATGGGGCTGTCTCATTTTAGAGTAAACGTGCAGGGCCCCGGGTGGCTGATGGTTTTTGCACTGGGCACCAGGTCCCCAGGGACCCCTCGAGCTCCCGAGGGCTGTGGCGGGAGGTGGGGCTGACCTGTGGGCTCTGGCCGGGGGCTGGACGCGTCCTCACAGGCCACGCTGGCTGGAAGCTGGAAGGCGTCCAGAGGTGTCTGGCCACCCTCGGCTTGGCTGGGGGTGAGACAGACAGGGTTAGGAGCCGGGGGTCCCACACACCCAACCTCCTGATAGCACAGGTCCTCTCTGCACACGCCAGTAGCAGCAGGGTGTGAACTGCAGGGCGCCTTCCCCCTGAGACTGCAGCCCCACCCCGAGGCACTTCGAGCCCTACACCCCACGTTGGTTTCTAGCCTGGCTTGGTCCTCTCCCAAGGTCAGACCTGTAAGCCAGCACCCACCAGGCTGGCACTGCCTGGATGTCCCCCAGCCCCTCATGCCCTCTTGACCTCAGCATCCTCCTTCCCCATTACAGACCCAGCCTTGCCAGAAACCGGGCAAAGGCCTCTCCACACCCCCCTCCTCCCCTTAGCGTCTGGGATGTCCTGGGACCCACCCTACATCCTTGATCCCCCAGTGCCCTTCTCCGTGGCAGACAAAGGGGTCCTTCCC